TCGTCATTGTTGTTTGGTGGGCCTGGGCTGGATTTGAACCCACCACCTTAGGTGTATGTGGCTGGCACCTTAGCCACTTGAGCCACAGGCACCAAGCCCCTACTATTATTTTTTTAAGACAGAGTCTTACTTTGTCACCCTCAGTAGAGTGCTGTGGTGTCATAGCTCATAGCAACCTCCAGCTCTTGGGCTTAAGCTATTCTCTTGCCTCAGCCTCCTGAGTAGCTGGGACTACAAGGCACCTGCCACGACACCCGGCTATTTTTTTTTTTATTGTTGTTGGAGTTTGGCCAGGGCCAGACTGGATCCCACCACCCTGGGTATATGGTGCTGGCGCCCTACTCAATGAGCCACAGGTGCCACACTATTCATTTATTTTTTGAGACAAAGTCTCACTCTGTCACCCTGGGTAGAGTATAGTGACATCATCATACCTCACAGCAACCTCAAACTCTTGGACTCAAGCTATTCTTTTATGCCTCAGCCTCCCCAGTATCTGGGACTACAGGCACCCACTACCACACCTGGCTAATTTTTAATGTTTTTGTACAGTAAGGATCTTGCTTTTCTGTCTGGCTGGGCTTGAAGTGATTTTCCCATCTTGGCCTCCTGGAGTGCTGAGATTACAGGAATGAGTCATTGTGCCTGGCTTGCAAATCCTAAAACACCAGTGACTGTCAGATAAGTGAGAGAGGCCACACTCTCACACTTGGGGAGATTCTCCAAGTGTCCTTGAACTGCCTAGGACAGGGAGTGTCAGGCATTTTCCTGCACATGACTGTCGTGGCACACTTGGTCTGCTTTCTATGGAACTCACTTTTTCTCTTCTCCCCTACAGCCCTGGGTGACATCGCCGGCAGAGAGAATAAGGAGAAACCTGGGAGTGTGGGCGCTCTGTCCATTGTCCTCCCCATCGGTAAGCACTGACCTGTCCTCCAGCCTTGCCTGGGTCATGGTCTTCCATAGCATGACCTCATCATGCCCAGCCAATTTGACCTGGGAGGTGGTGGCCCTATTCCTCATCATAACTGGAGAAACCCCTGTGAAGAAAGGACCATCTCACCCCTTGGGGCTGATAAGAAGGCAGTAAAGGTGTCGGGTGGGGGACCTAGCGCCAGGTTGTGTGCCTGGTCCAGGGAAGGCCTCAGCCAGACCCCAGGAATTTGTAGGCACCTCTGACAAGTCAGTTCTCTTACAGGGGGACAGGTAGGAGAGCTCCACTTTTCTTCCCTCACCTTGCTCCTCCTGGGTTGGTTAGCTCCATGTTGCTTTTTCCTCTACTGGGGTTGTCCTGTGGAAGCATCCCCTGATGGCCTGCATAGCTGGCCATGGGTTGACATCCATGACAGTGGAGCCCAAATCTCTACCCACTTCTGGGCACTGGCTGGAAACTGTTAAAAACCCCTGTGCCCCTGGGTTGATCGAAGTTGGCACTAATAACAACCCTGGGAGATGGCTGAGGCTGTCTTGTTGAGGGTGCAAAGAGGTGGTCAGTGATCATCACCCCATTGAGGGTTCCCCCCCCTTTTTTTTTTAATGAGATGGGGTCTTGCTATGTTGTCCAGGCTGTTCTCAAATTCCAGGCATCATGCAATCCTCCTGCCTCAGCCTCCCAAAGTGCCAGGATTATGGGTGTGGGCCATCATACTCAGCTAAAGCTTGCTATTGATGTAGAGAACAAACTGGTCCCATTAGCATTGAAACAAAAGAGTGAATTTGTGACCTGAGAATATAGAAAAACATTCTTTTTTTTTTTT